ATATGTATATATATATACATGTAATATGTATGTATATACAAAACATATATATATATATATATATATATGTTTTGTATATACATACAAAATGTTAGTGTTCCATCATTGACAAATCAGTCTCATAAACTTTGTGTGCTGAGGATGATACGTATTAAAGTATTTTAGGATAAGCCTTCGATCAACGGTAAAAGCGTAACGGAAGCGTGCAGGAGCGACGAAAGCTTGGAGGGTACACGAAGTTGTGAGGAGCACGAACGATGCGACCGGCTGTCGCTATGTTTAAGAAACGCGGGCAGGAAAAAGTCGCATCCTGTCTGGGGCTTTTTCAAAGACCTACGAAATTCAGGTGAGTGAGTCGCTGTACTTCCCGGCAAATATGCTCATCCGGATGTCGCTACGGCACCCACTGGTCAACTTTCCAAAAATCCCTGTTATTTTTTATACCTGAAGAGCACACTAGCCAGTACTAATATCGCATGTATACATCCTATAACCACCTGCGTTCTCGTCTCAGTTCCGTTCAACAGGGCACTGCAAACCTGGCATTATCGAGTTTTTTTTTTTTTTGCGTTTTGTATTATTGATGCTATGCAAAAGCGCATGCTTCCGACATCTTTTCTTGTTTGTGGTACGCATATACGTGTTTTTTAATACGCATGCGTTTTTTGGGTATCTGTCCAGCTTTCTCCCAAATCAGGAGCCAAAGAAGCTAGAGAACCGGAACTTTACGATGATACGTAACAAAGCAAATTTGAAAATCAGCTTTCATGCACGCCTATAGTCGGGCATAGAACAAGAAAGTCCAAATTTGCCCGTCATTTGCACCATTCCAACTTGGAAACCAAAAAAGGCAGAAAGCTGAAATTTCACGAGGATGTTCCCCATTCATGCTTGGCCCAAAAAGCGTGAAATAAGAACTATCCTTTGTGCGCGGACATGTCAAATTGTTGACGTTCTCCTGGCTTGAAAAACAGCAAGCTAGAAAGCTGTAGTTTATATGGGCCTCGACTATGTTTCCACAGTGCGATAAACGAGACAGCTTTCACAATACTTTCACGTTTGACGCACGTACAGATACGAGAAATTTGGAATTATATATTTTTTTTTTTAATTAGCAAACAGGTAAGAGAACAACTGAAGGATCTGGAATTTTCACGTCCTGAGGGCCTAGGAACTCGGATTCAGCTTTCACGTGCAGATATTTGGAACCTTAAAACGCAAAATTTTTTGAAAATAGCAATAGACAAGGTACAAAACTAACTGTAGTGCAGCCCTAAAAGTGGAACTCAGTTCCATGTACACCCGTAACTCACGTGCGAGCGACTGTAAATTAAAAAAAAAATTGTAAAGGATTCGGGAATCACTTCCATCACCCCCAATCGCTTTGAGGAACGGTGGTTTGGACGGTGTTGGACGAGAGCATAGGCGCGCCAAGTTTGTGCACAAATTCTGTGGGCGCAGTGAAGTTTAACTTTTGCAGAAGGAATGGGTGGCGTGTTCTGCGAGCACTGTGCCTGGGAAAGCGATGATCGTAGCCCGAACAATTTGAAGGCGCATCTGAAGCAGTGTCACCTGTCCGATGGCGTGTACAAGCAGTTCTCCGACAAACTCGCATCCGTAAGTTTGTACTTTACGCTAATTCCCCACCCGGGCGATTCCCATCTGTGTTGTGCTCAACTATGAGTTGCTCTGAACAACTCTGAGGAGAAACATGCTCATCTCCAGCCATGAGCTGCAGACAGACGGCGCAGGATTATGGCTCCTCTGATTGTTACGGCGAAAGAAGATACGAAACGGACGCCGCGATTACCAGCAGCATGCTGATGAAAAAATTATGACGCAGCTCTCCAATACAGTGACCAGGAAAATGTCACGGGACTGGCCCGAGGAATCCTTGATGAATTGCCCGTTTCTGTTAGTTCCTCTGATGGTGAGAGTTCTCCCTGTGTGTGTTTGTGTGCTATACTCTCGATGAACTCCGAATGGAAGCACTCCTGCTGCTGCTGCTCGATGGTGCTGATCCTGCACTCGACGACAGCCAAGCGAACGAGATGCAAAAG